CAGATTAATATCTTATCTTATTGCTATTGTGATTTTCAATATGATAGATTTCTTGTTTAAGTCTGTTTTTATGTTCATCTTTAAATTTTTATTAAGTATTAATATTTCCCATATATCAGTCTTTAGTTCATATTTATTATTATTTCGAAACATGATTTTCATCAAAATAAAGATATTTTTTGCTCATTTTCTATTATATAGAGATTTTTTTGCAAATCGAATATTCAGTACAAAATTTGTGTTAGGTGTGAGAAAAGTGTGGTTTTGTAAATTTTTGAACAATGGCAAATTTGGAAAATTTGTGTGGAAAACAACAATAGTGATAAATTAATAATCCCAACAATCGCAGTAAAGAAACAGTTACTACAATGGATTTGCGTAAAGTCTCATGTTCAACTTATGGATTCTAGTTGTAACTCTTTTCTTAAATCTTACGGAACATTTTTTACAAGTCATATTTTGGGCTATAAATTTGTAATTGCTATTTTATAGACAAATGAAGCATCTGTTCTTATACCATTATTAATGTCATAACAAAATTAATAATAATAATACTGGTAATGTTGATGATAATAATGATGACAATGATAATAATAATAATAAAGAAAGAAATAAATAAAAACAATTAACAGAAATGTTTTTATTGCCTTAAACTGCACCGATTTCCATTTTGTTAATACAGCTTTATCGACAACTGTGGCGCACGCACTTACTATACTTCTGTTTTGCTTTGCTTTTTTAAATTCAGAAAGAAAAGTTAATGCCATTTTTAATAAACTGAATGGAATTTTGTGTAATGTGACGGAATTTAATTACAAATCAGTTCAATTTGATGTCTCTCTCACTTACTTATGGTTACTAGTCGTCACTAGCGATTTTTCATATCTTACTTTATCGACTCATAATTTTTGCCACTTTCAATTTCGTATGGCTGCATGGAGCGTAAAGCTGATTACTAACAGTCACAATAATACAAAAATATCATTCTCGTTATTATTCTGCCAATTCTCTTTCATGCATAGGCCATTGGAAGCTGATTTTAGGAAGCATATTTCAACTTTGAGGCAAATCAGAAAATCTTAATCAATTTGCATAAAAGAGTAAGTAGTTGTTATTTCCGAGTATTTTTCAGATTTATAAGGAATGGCAATTAATAATGTTATTGATTGGTAGCAAAACGATCAAATAGATTATTATGGAGGGAACGATTCAGCCCAACAGCAAGTGCTGAAAGTTTTGCTAATGATGACTTCGTCTTGACTTTGTTGGTTAGGAAAAACCGGCTTTAAACTTATTCATTTCTCAAAAAGATCTTAAATGGTTGTAAGAGTCGTAATCATCCTTGTAGTAGAAATACTGGTTGTAGTAGTTATAGCTGTAGTCTTATTACTAATTCTGTTGTATAGATTTATTAGATTTTTATAATTACTTTTAATGCAGTTATTTTTTTCAAAATCATTATAATATCAACAAATTTTTTGTTCCGTAATTATTTCTGGCATTAATAATTGATCTTTTTAACTGTTTATTTGTTATGAAATGCTGGCTCTGCATTAAATCTTTATCTGCAATACATTTGAGCTTTATCCTTCGTATTATAGTCATAACTTGGAGTAAAGTTTATCCTTCAAAATTTTTAAAAATTATTTGTTACCACCTAAAGTTAATTACTTCCCTCATATTTTACAGTTTCAAGGCATCGTACTAATTGTAATCATTGTTTTGAATGCTAAAGCCAACTTCCATTTGTCAAATGGAGTACAAGGCATCAGTCATGCACTGCAGTTGAAAATTTCACTCAAAATGAATCACTTATTGCCTCCCCAACTAAACCTTCATATAATTTAGAACCATACCTTTAATATAAAACTTGATTATCACAGGTCAATTAAAATTTAGGATATTAACAGATTTTCGAATTCTTTACTTCAGAGTAGTATTCAAGCAGAATAATTTTTTTCCTATTTATGAGGCATTTTTAATGTATACAGTTATAATAATGCATAGGTTTATTTTCTCTGAAAACATATTTTCTTTTCCGATTTTATGATCTTAAAATAGACTTAATCTGTTGTTTTCAGCACCTCACTTTATAAACTTTGCTTGGCTGATGATTTCACCACTTTCAGTATCATAATTCGTCTTGTCTATGGGCTAAAACATGACAAACTACCCTTAAATATGAAAACGACTTGTAAGCATTGGGTGAATTATTTGTCCTGCCCTGCTTCTATATAAACACTTATTTTAATAGAACTGCTGTTGAAGTATGTTTGTTACATCAGTGCGTACTTGGACATATTCCACTACTGATTACTGACTACTAACAGTACCTTGTAAAAATTTTTTTTTTGGCATCTCTCCAGTGAAAGTGAGCACAGTATGGCAAATGCTACTAAAGTATTTGATGTGTGAAACGTATCTCTCTGTGAAGGAACAACGTAATTCGACTTTTAAGCCAAAAAAATTATCCTTTTTTGTGCTGAAAACAGTCACGCAAAGACTTTTTTCAATAGATGTCTTCAAAATCAAAAAAGCTGACCTTCAGTATGGTACAGTACACTGCGGTGCTACTTTTTTAAGTAATAAACAGTTTTATAAGAAAAATTTTTTGATTTCATAAATCGTCTCACAAGTTTTTGATTTGCTCAATAATTCACGATGATGCCTCACCGTTTGTACGACTTCTAAAAATTATCCTTTTTTAGAAAATTTCGGGAAAGGAATTGTTGACAATAATTTGATAACATTATTCGATTGCAAAGTACCGTAATCAAGTACTTAGATTAGCAGTTATCTTCTACAGTAGCTGACTTCCAAAACGAGACACAATAAATCGAAAATAAAATTGATGTTTCATTTTTAAAGTCTTATAATTTGATAAAAATAACCGTTTATAGCATGTTTTAGTCAAATAGTTGGTATAATTATTTTTATTGTATGGTAGTCAGCTGTCAAATTTTAGTGTACAATGAAGACGCACATCTGCCAATTTCAACAAAAAAAGGAACAGCATCATGTGAAAATTGTATTGTCCAACATTTGAATTAAAAATGAACATTACTGAAAGTAAAATGATAACATATTTTCTCATCAGTTTTAAATCACTCAGTACTTATCTATTAACTTTGAATTCACATTGTATTCCAGATGACTTTAAAGTATCATCAATCGGAAAAATCGTCATATTGCTAATTTTTATCATAATTATTTTAAATTATTGACCAGCTTAGTGGGTACATAAAGCACCAACGATGGAAATTGGAGTAAAAGTGTGATCGAAATATTCTGCTTTTCACAACTATCACTGTAATGATTTTGTATTTTTAAGGACTTTGAGTAATACTCTCTGTTGTAAACAACTCCACTTTTTTAAAATGCCCTATCTCAATGTTACTGCATGTATAGTTATTGAAGTTAAATGAAGAAATTATTTAAATGAGATGTTCAATTATTAATAACTGATGTCACTGCGAGTTTTCTGATTTCCGTCGCTAGTAATGAAGAATTTTACAGCTGTGTGCTGCAACAGTTTCATAGTGATTATTTTCAATATTTATTTCCAAACAAAATATATTTCAAAGAAAGTAAATCCAAGACTAATTGCTGGTAAATCTATCCGCTGTTATGTAAGTTATTCTTAGTTAAATCATAACGCTGATTAAAAGTCTTCGTCTTTGGAAGTTTAAAAATCTTTCTGCTTTTCAAAAAAACGAACAGTAAATTATTTGGATTTCTAAGTCATACGAAATAATCTGTGTGAAAATTTCTAAAGGTTGAAAGTTTTGTTAGATAAAAACTGCCTTGAATGCTCAAAATTGAATAATAATCACAAATTTAAAATTTCGTATTTTACACATTTTATGAAAAAATAACAAATTACTGTAATAGCCAGTTAAATAAAAATATAAATAATAAATCACAATAATATTTATTGATTCATCGACTAATACCTTATTATTGATTTAAATAAATTGATTTTGATTACGAACAAGATACTGGAATATACCAATTTGTTATATAAACAGCTAGTCTATATTATACATGTAGACTAGCTGTTTTGGCAGTAATGATTTTCAATTCCACTCTGTTTTGGCTTGAATTTGTCAAGAGTCTAGTCAAGAAGGAAAAAACGGAGATAAATTGGAAGGTAGTGTAAACCAAACAGCCTGGCAAACAATTTCCAGTTTAGCTTTTAGTTTTTAGTCACTCAATCTTAGAAGCGTCTTCCTTTCCCTCTATTCATATCGTTATTAGGCATTTCATTTTAGTCATATCTTCCTCTGCATTCTACTTTACTCCAATGTTCACTCTAATTCTGCATACTAATTTTTATTTTTCTTACTGTTAATTTGCATAATTACGGCAATAAACTAAATGTTTACCACTGCTAACAGTGATACAGGAATTACAACAGTTGTTCACCGACAAAATTCAGACTCAACTTCGAGCTAAAGTTAAACTGTTGTATGTTTAGGGTCAGGCCTATAATAAAGGAACAGATAAGAATAACAAGTCAGTTTGTGGAAAAATTAAACTGGTAATAAGAGAGTAAAAAGGAAGGGGTTATTCCCGTATGCCCTCTGTACCAGTTCGGGTCAAGCACCGGTAGTCAATCCTAACCTCCCTTGCTTCTCTCTTCTCAAAAGATGAGTATTAATGATGTAGCTCTGATATTGGCTGATTCTCGTATTTGATGACACTTGAATTTACCTAAAAATTGTATTCTTTAGTCTGCTATCATCATGACCTTTGACTTCAGCTATTTTTTCAAAGTTATTGAACAGCATATATATATCAGCATATATATCATGCAGAAAACGTTTTTCAATCTTTAATAAAGGATAAATAAGGATGAATTGACACTGTGCAGGAGAAATAAAGCCAAGACACAGGTGACCTCTGATCATCACAGACTACTTTCTGTCTGGGATTGCACTTTAACCTTTCGTTTCCTTGTCTGATATTGCACTTTAACCTTTAGGCAGCTTAGTGAGTGAATGGGTGATGGACTCGACCATCAATGTAAGCTCTGTGAATTAACTCTTATTTCAGCCGCATGTCAGAACTGTTTTGAAATTGGGTCCGACAATTTGAGGAAAAACCCAGACACTCGCAAACACCCAGACCTACATACCCGTGCAGGCATACACACAGACAAACACACACACACACACGCAAATGGTAGTACCATTCGTCGTGACGGCCACAAGCAAGCAGCCGCACAGCTCTTATTTTTATTCTTTTCAGCCCTGTTTCATTGCACCTGTTTCCGATTTCACAATTACCTATTTGTACCTCTACCAGATCAGTGTCACTCATTGTGTTCACCTCGTGATGACCTTTCACCTTCAAATAACCAGTGACTTATGAATTTTATTTCTACTCGTGCATGTATGTGTGATTTTGCTCCTCACTCTCCTTTTCTTTGCGATTCTGTCTGGAACAGATGGTTGACGACAGAAAATGGGTTGATGTAGACAGTCTGTTGCTGGTAATGAAACTAAAAACTCTGAAATGGTTTAAAGTTGCTGAATTAGAAATAAGTGCCGCTAATCCCAGTAAGTAAGCTTGTACCGTATACAGTAGTGATTAAACCGGTATTCTGTTATAATGCTGAATCTTTATATAAACTTTTATCCTCTACATACAGAAGTTGATTGAATGTTAATATCTTGCTTTTGGTATGAATAATGTTGCCATTAATATTATTTTACCATAATTCATGTTCACTTAAGATATTTTGAATGATCGCTCATTCAAATTTTCTCTAAATCTTTTCTTTTAAGCATATTCTAAATTTTAACGTTTAGTATGTATTATATTAGCAACTGTTTATCCATTTGGCTCTTGGCGTAATACGGACTGACTTGATTCTTGGTATGATGAGAATGCGCATGCAGAAAAATTTCTCAAATATGACTTCTGGTAGAGTGGTACTATCTGAACAAGTAATATTTGCACTTATGGAAAAGTTTATAGATATTACACTGCAATTGCAGTATTCAAATTAGTCTCATTATATTGGTCCAAGTAATTCCTAAAAATCATGGTATCCTAATTTTGATTAAACTGAAATTGTCATAAAATGTCTTAATACTTTCCCGCTGTCCGACCTTTTGTTACCAACCAATACCAATCAAAAGTCGTCTATTTATTTATTATTTCTAATTATTGCTTTTTTCCAATTAGTTATAATTTTCTTGATAGTAAATGCATGATTGTTAAGTTTATTTTTCAACTAATTTTACTTCAATATACAGCTTGCAATTACAAACCATGAATATTCTAGCATTGCTAATTGTTATCACGAAGTTTCGTGATTATTGTTATTGTTAGTACATTTGACAGTCATTAATGTATATAAATGCAAAGTAATGATCACAGGAAAATGTCATGTAGTATTTGGATTTATCTCAACTTGCACTTCTCTTTTTTAGAATAGAAAAATTATTTCTACGTAATGATGCTTTTGTTTGATTACATGCATCTCCGTTGTTACTCTCTTTTTCGTTTTTGCTGACAAGGCCAAATTCAGCAGTGAATCCACGCCGCAACGTCGGCAAGAATGTGATTAGAATTATTTCTTGACTTGCTCAAGTAGCAAATCAATTTTAGCTTCTCAGAAATAATTGATGAATAGACTTTCTCCCTCTTCAGTTGTGATATCTTTCCATGCAACTCTGTTCAATCTTTACTTCTCTGCAATGACTTTGACAAAATCACAATATACACTTAATAGTCATCTTAATGTAATTCAAGATTTATTTAAATTAACATCAACAAAACCAACACAGTAGTGTAATATATTTGAAGGAATTTAATAAAATTTATATTTTGATTGAAATACTTTCATTTTGATTAGCAGTATAATTTAACTTTGTTACAGTTTTTGGAAATGATCAGTACGCGAGGTTAATGATCAAAACTTGGTCAATTTCTATGACTTAAATTTGTAGTTGGTTGTTTCTGTCGCGAGTTGTTCATTAATTGGTAGAAGAAAATTATTAGATTATATTAATTCACAGTCAGTAATAAGATCTTCAATATTTTTCATTTATGTGGGTTAAAATTTAATCTTGTAAGTTGTACTGTGTTTTCTTGATTTGTTTTGTCAATACTTCTTCAATTATCACCTACATATGTACTTGTAATCGTCGCATGCGCTTGATTTGTGTTTAATATACTTGGTTTTGCATAAATGTAAGCTTTAATATGCGACTGTATTTCTACTTAAAGATGAGTGCTCGTCAATGTAGATTTTACTTCCAAGTGTATGTATATGAATGTGTATGCTATCTGAATGCATGGATGTATGAATCTGTACGTGGACGTGTCATATCTGCGCTGTATCAGGGGGCAGATGCACGCACATTTATGTATATGCATGCATGTGTATACTCGTCTTTCTTTATATGGGTCTGTCTGTTAGTGTGTGTATGTGAAAAATTAGTGGGCGGAAGCAAGCAAAGAGTGACTGTGTTGGGATAAACGCGGCGTGTAAATCAGGTCATCGCCATCACTGCGAGTGTCAGTGATGGACAATATATCGGGAGTGGTATTGTCCTTATTGAAGTTGATGGATTGATGAATGAGTGAAAGACGCATGAATGGTTGTGGCAGCGGTAGGTTTATTTTCACGGACTGTTCACGTGCGTATAGAAATCCCTCTCTTGCAGTTTTTACGCATTCCTTCCCACTCTACTGGTTTTTTTGTCTCATCTGATAATGTTACGAGTCAAACTTTTCCCGCCTAAAATTCTACTCTTGCAGCCCAAATCCCACTGCCACTCGTGCATCTTTGCAAACTCATGTAACATCCAATCAGGTAAGAGTAAATTTATGCCTGTCTAAGTTAGTCCGTCTGATTCATTGTCCGTTTGCGTAAATGTTCGTGTCAAACATACTACTTATAGATTGTTGTGTATACGCATTTAAACAAAGGATTGTTCTATAGATAAAAGCATTCATTTTGTGAAGCGACGATAAGCTTCACCATAATAGTTGCAGAGGTCAAGATTTACGTACTTGAGTGTGAATACGTTGTGTATACGTGCACTTGCTCTTTTCCTATTTGTATATGGCATGTATTTGTGCATTTGCGCGCATTTATGCGCTGTTTGTTACTTCAACTGAAAAAATAAACTGTAATTTATTTGATTTATCAACAGGGATGGTAAAATTTATTTGCATATTATGTTGGCAGGAACATATATATTTGCGTCAAAAAAATTGTGCATACTCATTTTTGTTTTCTTGTTCTGTGTAGTAATGAGATTTTTGAGTTTGTTTTTTTGAATGGATGTTTTTATGAGTGAAAAAATTCATTTTGTAGAAAAGGTTCATTAGTCCACATAGCAAGTGATGAATATTATCAGAAAACGTCGATCGATAAATAGAATAGGAAAAAAAATGTGTGTGTCAGGGTTGAGAAGTATCAGTTGTGAGTTGGATATCTTTGCTAGAAAAACTGTTACAAATCTGACAAATTAGGAATTAGAAAGAGAATCGGATAATAAGCACGCATATTTTTGAATATCGTAATGAATGTTTTGTTTGGAATTGTTGATTTGACTTGAAGGACATAGTACTTCTACCTGAATGCAAGTTACTAGTGATTAAAAAACTAGAATTTATTCCAGTTTCAAGCAATCTTTACTATTTTGATTCTGTGTAATGTGTAAATTTCATTTCTTAATTTTGTTGGAAAATTGAATCATTGATTTTTTGAAGGAATGTAAGATTTTATCGTTAAATAAATGCATACGTTAATTTTAAAATGAAATATCTTGATTTGTGGAGCTAACCGAATATCGAAAATAAGCAGTTTATATCGTAATGAGGCAATCAATACATCCCAGTCAAAGTAGCAGAAACATGCGATATCGGTCTGTACTAGCAAACGTGGCAGAAATATGTTTTGTAGTAATGATTCTAATTCTTGTAAATATGATGTCACAATACTTGGGATCAATCGACAGGTGTCTCGACCTCTGTCTTTTAATTTCTCTTGGTTTTAGGTTATTCTCTTTGTCTTATATAAGTTTGTAGGAAATTAGATATATTAGACATTTTAATTATAAAATAGCAAAATAAATTAAGATGAGACATTTGTAGTTGATTTTTTGAATTCATCTGCGCCAAGTAAGGATTTTTGTTTTATGAATTTTGTGGCCGAAGACTCTTCCACTTTCTTTTGATTTTTTAGTGAGTGTAGAACTTGATCTGATCTCTTAATTTTTTGAAATTCAATTTTGATGGCCGCATTTTTCTTGAATTATTTGATTAATTTATGTCTTATTTTCACTCGTAAGTTGGTTGAAGCTGAAGTCCATATGTAAATTTGACAGGTAACTTATTCATAATTTAACTTTAGTCCACTTAGAAAAAGTTTTCTCTATTTTTGTCGTGTTTTTGCATGTTTTAAATTTTGTACGTCATTTCTTTCGATAAACGCAAATTTATGGAAGTACTTACATGAAGAGTAATTGGTTTCCTTTTAAGATTCAAAACCTTTTACTGGAGTTCACTTTGATTTGATTTATGTGCCAGTTGATTTATGAATTTATTTTCTAGCCTATTTTGCAAAAATTATTAAGAATTTTCTGAATTTCTCACGAGTTTATTTTCATTCCCATTTATGTTATTGGTGGAGAAATTTCACGGTCACTCAAGACACCATTTTTTGAGTGAGAATATTGAAATGCATGCTTCTATAATCTTGCTTGAAAATATGTCTTAACATTTTGCAACTGATAAAAAATTATTCACTGAGTTAGAGTTTTTGTGCAATTTGAATCCAAAAATTGTAATTTGAGTAGTTGAGTTTGTTACAGATTTTGGCTCTTATACGTTTTTCTTGTGCTTTTATTTCGTTTCACGCTCGAATTCTTCCTTCTCTCACGTTGTTCCTGGAATTATTTGGCTTCATTTCCTTCCCTAGTTTTTCTTTCATTAGTCTGATTTATTGATGTTTATGCGATAAGCATTGCTTGGAGAAGTATTGATAATTCTTGGGAAAACCACGGAGCAAAAATTAAATTTGCACGATTCGATATTTATGGAATGTATTCTTGATCTATATTTTTATCTATATATACAAATCTGACTAGTAATTTCAAGCACAATTTTAGGAAGCAGCTTATCTTCAGGTTGTTCATCACATCTAGACAAAGTCGTAGTGATTATTTAATTAATATCGTTATTCTTATTATTAGCAACAGTTGAAAAAGTATTATCATCTTCATTATCAGTATTATTATCATTATCATTTGTGATTTCATCGCTGTTATAGTTTTGTTCGAGAAGTATTCAGATACCATTAAAAGGTATCCCAAAAATGGCGCTTCACAGTGCATGTATAGCCACCGTATTGTTATTTTTTTAAAATATATTTTAGACAGAAGAGCAATCATTCTTCTACCTTCATTCATTTTGTTCTGAAATTTAAAAGGTAAGTGAAATAATTCAAGTTGGTGGGTTAAGTCAGCAAAACTATTATTAATAATAACTAATAATAATAACGACCAAAACTGAATATAATGATGTTAGTGATGGTAATAATAGTACTAGTAGTAATAATTATAGTTATACTTATAATCAATAAATAATAATATCAACATCATTGTTATGATAGTTCGTGTTAATTCTATTGTTGTTTCTAATTGTCATAGGAATGTTAACTGCTACTATTATATTAGTAATAATCGTCATTATCATGAATGGGAAGTGTTATTTCTGGTGGTAAATCAAGTTTCCAAGATTGAGTTATGAAAATTCAATCTTTCTCTTAGAATTTATCTTGACCGTCGAAATGGAGTTTATTAATTACCAAATTATTTTGCCAATTCTTAGTTCACAAAAAAAAAACAAATTCTCTTTTGCCACATTTTCTTCGTTTTATTTCATTTCTTTTTTCTTTGCATTATGATTAGTTTTAGTTTGAATAAAAGTTAACATTTCCGGGCGAAATTTATAAGACATAAGTTTCACGCTTAATCAGTGCAAGTTAATTTTAGGTGCGTTGAAGAATGGCTTTGGTGTCTCATCACACATCAACAGGAAGTATAGTTGGTGCAGGTCTAGCACCATCAATGTATGCCGGACCTTCAGCTGCAGGTGTGGGAGCTACTTCCACTTTAACCAAAGACTCTCGACATAGTGCTTCCATCAGTGGCAAGAATGTGTCCGCCAAGCTTATTCAACATCCTCATCACAGTGCACCGCAGGTCATTTTACGAAATTGAGCATCTAAAATAGGTCAAATTCCAAAAGCAAAAATCTAATATCAGGTTTAATCAAAATATTTCATATGATTTGATCTGTGGATCCTTCGGAAATGTTTCATTGGAATTAAATAATACATTTAAAATAATATGACATTGAAATTACGCATGCAGTGTTTTTACTTTGGGTACCATTTTGAGGTTAAGTCAGATGATTGTTTCAAACGTAGCGTTATTTATCGCTGTTCCAAATTAGCAAGCAAAGATATATCACCTACATTGATTGATTAAATAATCAGTGCAGTGATGTAATGACCAAAAATTGAAAAAAAAAGGGTATTCTGGAGATCATCTCATCTACATAATTAATATTTAGGAAATTTAGTAAGCTGTCAAAAATTTAGGCACTGACTTTTTAAAATTTTGAGAAATTTGTTTCAGTGGTAGGACTGAATTTTTTATTAACGATCATTACTGTAATTTTGATTTGAATTGAGAAAATTATGCTCAAAAAAGTTTTCAATTTTTTTCAAAATTCATTTCTTTAGCCTTCTGTGATACCAAACAATCAAGCAATCCTTAGAGCCGTTCAACCGTTTTATCGGTCAACAAATGTAGAACAACAAGAAACACAACCTGATCGTCCAATTGGTTATGGAGCTTTTGGCGTTGTTTGGTTAGTTATTTGATTTTTATCATGATGCCTCAACAAACTTAATATTCTCTCTCTTCAAGATTAACTCGTCAAATTTTTAACGGTATTCTAGTTTTATTGCTATAATCAAATTTCTGGCCTAATCAGCTCTCTATCTACATCTGATATTTCAGTAGTAGAAATTAAATACTCAGTACTGACCACCATCTAGTGTTTTTCAAGTTTGGTCAAATTTTTGTAGTATAGTACTTCAGTAAATTACTATTTCTGGCTCTGACTGCACCTGTTAATAAAAGTTAGAGTTTTCAAAGTTTTGTATCACTTTGTATTCATTTAATAGGTTAAATTAATTTTGTTCGAAATTTTCAATATTCCCGTAATTCATATTATTTCAGGTTTATAATTACTCTTAAATATATATGTTTTAGGTCAGTAACAGACCCACGAAGTGGTCGACGTGTAGCACTGAAGAAAATGCCAAATGTGTTTCAAAATCTTGCATCTTGTAAACGTGTTTTCCGTGAAATTCGCATGCTGTCCAGTTTCAAACATGATAATGTAAGTTTATTCATTTTGTTATTCCATAATTTCTTAAATATCGATGGTTGAAATTCTATTAAAAATTGTTGAGCTTTGTTCACCGATGTTTAAGAAATTATGGAAGGTAACAAATTTTTCACTTTCATTCGTAATTTACTCAATAATTTGATTTTTTAAAATCCTGAAATGTTATTGTCTTTTAAATTTGCAAAACAGGTTACTGTGCACAGTGAAAATCAATAATTTGGAATTGGAACTAGTGTTTATTATCAAATGAATTAATGAAGCATTTATGAGTCTTGATAAATGATTTGCTAAAAGAAAAGATGAATTTTCCATGAATCAAATGTTAAGGTTTCTAGAGATGACAGAAGATAGTAGTAATAATAATGGTGATGATATTGCTCTTACTGATGTTAATGGCAGTAGTGAAATTCACTGTATATACCTGTCTTATTATTTTAGTGGACAGGTATACATAATGATAATAATTGTGATAATAATAGTGGCGCTAATAATGATATCCAGAAGCAGTCCATAATTGTAATGGCAGTGATGAGGAACTTAGTAATAATGGATCTTAGTGTACTTGAAAATAAATTGCATCAGAATAGAAAAATGATGAGAGAGAGTTGCATTAGTTTACAATGTGCATATATGATTTGCATAGCAATAAGATGAAAGCTGTGAAGTTAAAAATAGCGAATGGAAGATCGTATTAGCTGGGGAACTTTTTACGCTTACTACTTTTACACTATTTATGTACTGAATAGCGTGGAACATGCCATCTAAAAGTTAATACAAATAAACTGATCACTTCAAGTGTATTATGAGAGAGGAGCTAGTTTTAGCCTTCACTATTTTCAAATTATTGGAAAGTCGATTGGGTGGTTTTAAATTCCTTCTACATAACTGTAGATTCAGCAGAATAAAACATCTGAAATCATTCATTGCAAGCTGCTTTCAGTTGTATAATTTTCCCCCTTCAATCAGGCCAATCTGTATTTTACTACGAAAATCTATTACAAATTTAATATTGCTATAAATGTGCCTCTTAGATATAGATATCGCTGTAAATTTTAATCTAAAAATTCATTATTATTAACTTAAATGTGAGTATCAGTGCTGATGATGTGTATTGGAGACGATTGGAGTGAGAAGTAAATTATTTGATGAACAGCGTTTTGTTCAAATAAAATTTATCCTGCATATTTTCAGAATATTTTGGAGTAATATCAGTTCTTACAAAATTTGGTGAAATTATAAAAATTTAATGTCAGTAATGGAAAGTTTGGTTTTTTGAATTTCAGCAAAGCAAATTTCATTTTTCTGGACCAGATCTAGAAAAGTGCCAAAATTAATGCTACTCCTAGAAATTCACGCCATGATTTCCGTTAAAAGATGCTTTGCTGCTAGTGGGAACTAATTATTATTGTATTTCGTTCTTCACATCACCATTGTTTCATTATTGATATCGTATTAATATTATACTACACATCTTTATTATACATATTCATTTCATTCATAATCATCGCTTCATCATGATTTATGGTTATAATCTTCACGCTTTATATGTTAGTGTGATTTTGCTAAAGTCAGTGATGATTTGCAGGTACTTGGTTTGATTGATATCATTCAACCAGAAAATCCACATTTTTTCCACGAACTGTGAGTTTCATTTATTTAATATTGAATGATTAACAGTGTTTGGCATTATTATTTGAATATTTGAAATACTAATGAATGGCATGGCTGAAATCTGACTAATGCTAAACTAGATTACTAGACAGTTTCATAATTCTTAAAATTTATAAGATATTATTATTCACATCTTAAATTTGAGTTTAAAATAGAACTTGCAATGAACTGAAAGTAATGAAGACGATAAAAAGCATTGAAAATTGCATCTTCAGATATGTCATAACAGAATTGATGCAAAGTGATTTACATAAAATTATTGTATCACCTCAACCACTCACTACTGATCATGTGAAAGTATTTGTTTATCAAATTTTAAGAGGTTTGCCTAAAATCTACATCTTTTTAACTAATTTTATATCATTAAAAACTATTTATAGTTATTTACAAAGTAAAATTTAGAATTATATTAAGTCAAGACTTCAAGAAATGATTTTCTGATTAGCTGAAGTGTAATGAAGTAGATTTCTTGAAAATTTCCAGCATTAATTGTTTATCATTTATCACTAACAGTAATAAAAATCACTAAAATTATTGTATCACCTCAACCACTCACTACTGATCATGGACAATTCATATAGCTGTGTAATGTCGGATATGAATGCTCTGGAACTTTCAGGATTAAAATACTTGCATTCTGCAAACATTTTACATCGAGATATTAAACCAGGCAACTTATTGGTCAACAGTAATTGCATTCTAAAAGTAATTTATGTGTTCTTTAAAATATAATGTTAGTTGACAAAAATTTTTATATTCAATGTTCCTTGTACAATATATGGTCGAGAGTCTTTTGTTTTGTTTAAAAGAAATTGAAGTAAGAGACTGAAAAAAAAAATAAAAAAATTTCCCTAACCAACAAAGAGTGACCCTGTAAACCAAATGAATCTTTAAAAAAATTTTGGATATATGAAAGCTAATTACTGTTCATCCCCTAAAATACCCATAAATTTGCCAGTTGTATTTTTGATGCCAATGTTTAATTCTTTTTTCTTTAGAGAAGTCAAGTAATTTCAAGATTACGAGGGCAGAAGTATTAAATGATTGTAAAACAAGCTTTTTTTTCAGATATGTGATTTTGGATTAGCAAGAACGTGGGATCCTAGTGAAGAATCAGCTATGACTCATGAAGTGAGTGTAAAAAGTCTCAAATGTTGAATTTTTATCTGACTTACAAATTAAATAAAACCCTTGCAACTGAGTTCCATTGCATCAGTGAGATATGAAAAATTCATAATTTGCTTCCAGTAAGCTATAAAAGATTTTGTAGTGGGTGGAAGATTTTTTTGATTGCATTACGAAGTTGTCAGAATCTTCAAAAATAAAGTATATTTCAGGGTGATGCTTGTTCAACTGTATGACGGTTTGCTATTTGTAATAAATATTTTGCAGGTGGTGACGCAGTATTATCGTTCGCCAGAATTATTAATGGGTGCGCGTACATATACTGGAGCCGTTGATGTGTGGTCAGTTGGTTGCATATTCGCAGAATTGCTAGGAAGACGGATATTATTTCAGGCTCACGGGCCTGTTGAGCAGGTTTTTTTAGTAAAATGAAAATTCATAGTTTTTGCTGTTAATTTGTTTCAGAGCGAAACTTCAAGAGATATTCGATTAATATCAATTGTGATAGAAGAAATTTTCGGTAAATTGTGTTTTGTTCAGAAAATGAAGCATTTCCACTTTTACATAAAGCTTCAATGAATCTGGAAATATTTTAACAGAAATTTATTATATTAGATTCATATTTGTAGCTTAATATGATCATTGATCTGTTGGGTACACCTGGTAAGGAAGAAATGAAAACTGCTTGCAAAGGAGCTCGTAAACATGTATTATCATTACCACATCGACAGGCCAATCCGCAAAAAATTCTGCAGCTAACACAAGGAAACGAGGATGCTACTGATTTACTCACTTCGCTTGTAACTTTTGATCCGGTCAGTTTTAATTTTCATTAGTCAATATTATCCATTTATATATGAACGTTGTGTTTTTTATTTGAAATTTCTGAGTGGAAATTCTGATTGTGGTTGTGTTCTCTAATTTTGGATAAGTGTTGCGTGTTCACGTGATTTATAGAAAAAGTAAATCAGTGAAAATCTCTGATTTTGTGGTCAAATACTTTTTTTTACAATTCAAATGATTCGAATGAAGTACAAATTTATATTTTCAGCTCTCCTGGTTCGACTAATTATTTAGATTTGTCATCAGTAATTCTGACAACAGTTTTTGTAGGATAAACGTATCTCAGTTGAAGGAGCATTAAGGCATCAGTATCTGGATGAAGGTCGCATGCGTTTTCATTCATGCATGTGCTCATGTTGTTATACTGCTTCTAACGTGCGATTCTTCTCACCAGTATTAGATCCTGTTGTAAGTAACACCATTTTATCATTATTAGTATTGTTTTTGCTTTATTTTCATTTTATATATTATAATAATTATTTTATAACAGGAATAGTTATTATGAATAATAATAGTTGGTATTATTATTATTGTTTATTGTTTATTAGTTCTTCTTTTTCTTACTCTCGGCATCAGTCCCCATTACATTTCATATAGAAATTTTACCAGGTAGTTTTATATTTTCGAATTATTGTTATAATAGTATCATTGTATTATATCGTTATATTATCGTTATTGCTATAATGAGTTTCAATATCATACTGATACTGTCAGCAAATTTTCCGGATCAAACATGAGGAGTTGGGTTTTAAATTTCGTTTTTGATTTTGTTTTCAGTTATAAATTACAGCATGAGCACCCATTCGATCCCAGATGGGAAACTGAACTTTCACAAATGTCAATATTTGATCTTCGAGATCGTATGTATAAATTTATTATGGAACTTACACCACCATACGGTATAGCTCTCGGCATCAATCCCCATTCCATTTCATACAGAAATTTTACCAGGTAGTGTTATATTTTGGAAGTCAGTTTATAATTCTTCCAAATGATATTCTTAGTAATTTTTGTATTGAATAATGAGATGAGTATTACTTTAGGTCTGATATCGAATCATCATTAATAATTTGATGCAAAATTATTTGCAAATCATTTGTTTGATTTCACTTAATCTTTGGATGCAGAAAAATGTATAGTAGATGCGTAAATTTTTGTTGCAGCTCGTCAGTAGCACAGCCAGCGGAATTTCCGCCATCACCAAATGCATGGGGTCAGTGAAGGTAAAAAAACAAAATAATTATTTATTACTATTGTTATTATTATCAGAATTTCTGCTTTAGCAAAATATTCTATCAGATAATATCAAGATGAATTTCTTGTGCATTGATTTATAGCGTTTGCTTTACCGTTATAAACGGAAATTGGTCAAGAATGGATCTGATATTTGTTCGAGCACCGAACTGATATATATATGCACTTTGGACATATATATTATTCTGCCTCATTTTTGACAAGTTATTTCACTTGTTGAAAATCTTTATTATTCCTATTTCTTACGCTTCTCCTTTGTTTATAGGCAATGATGAATTTATATTTGGAAGAATGAAAATAATTACCGTATTTTACAGTAATATTTGGTGTTTTTTTTTTTGAAAGAAACATTTTTCGATATAATATTATCATTTTGGCTTTGTGCGATGCTTCATTAGATGGTGGTTCTCGGTGAGCAAATCAGTAACAGTCATAAAACTTGTGCTAAAAAAAATAATAGTGATACTTTATGAAACTTACTGCAATTTGATACAGTTATGAAATATCATGATGTAGTTATTGAAATATAAGGTATTCAAAGGGGTCACCATAGAAAGAACGATTCTAAAAATTTTTTCAATACCAGTGATTGCACATGCAAGCAAATAGTATTAATTTCAATATCAAATATTAAGGCAGAAATCCTGCAATAAAATAAGCGAGAAGTACCTGCAAGGGAAAATAATGAAATGTTGCATTCATATCATTTCTATTGCTTAACATTGTATGTTGTACTAAACGGACGCTTGACACGTCTGCATACTGTATGTTGTAATGTTCAGTATTGTACTAATTCATAGTCACGTCGTATGTCAGTCAGTTCTTTCACTTTAATATGAGTTTGTATAATTAGTGTGCATTGTTGTTTTGCTGACACTGAAATGAAAATAAATAATTGGCCTATAAAGTTTTTGCTTCTTCTATGTTAGATTTAAAAAAGACCTATTAATGTGCATTCTTCTTGCATTTCTGAGATGTCATTCTTTTGATTAAAAAAAAATTAAATATACGAATCTGAACTTGCTTTCCACTTTTCTATCTAACTAACAATAAATGCTCAAAATCGTTCTCATTGTTCTCTTTCAGCGCCCTAATTGCTTTTTTTGTCATCTCATTTGGTAATGTTAGAAGTTGTATTTTCAGACATAAATTTTTTCAAAAACTGTCTTAGTCAAGTTCATTTGCTTCTCTCTAATGGAAGTTGGGATAATCTTGTTTTTTCAAATGTTGAACTGTAACTGTAACTGGAGAAATAATGCCACATCTTGTAGGCTTTTGAGATTATGGTAAGAAGTCAAGTTTAAAGCAGAAAACAACGCTGACAGTTTTGATTGTAAATTTCTGAGCAGCTAGTCAGCTGACTGACTTTTTTAGTCTTAAGAAATTGTCACTGACACAGTTTTTTGGCAACTTTTCTTTTGTTTTCATTTCAGTAACGGTAAGAAACTTTAAAATTGCTTTCATTTCCTAATATGTCTTTCGCTAAGGTGATTTTTATTCAACAATAAACTGCCAGAATTTTATTTTTCAGTTTTTCCAATGCATTCAGATTGTATTTGTACATAAAGGTCATTTACGCGCTATGCATTATTTTTTATCGGAACATTGTTTTTTTAATTACCTCCGATAATTATTCTGTAATTTAGCGAGTTAATCATTTGAAAAATAGTTGCAACAAATCTCTGATTATTGTCATCTTTGTTACTTACATTCGATATTCCTGACTATTGCTGAAGTTTTCAGGAAATCGAGCTTACACAAACTACGGTTGTCAGTCGTTATCGTCTGTTTATAATCACTGCCACTTTTTGCAAGTATGTAATTTCGTTTGCAGTAAAAGTTTCATACAAGTACGCGTTGTGTTGTTTGACAATGAACAGATAGTGCGGTCCACTGATAATGCCAGTTTTGGCAGTGGTTTATTTCTCTCAGTAATTGGTAATTTCAATGCGAACTGTCTTATCTTTGTTGTTACTGTTAGTATAACCGATAACTTCCATTTGTTTCTCGGAATATTCCATGCATTGTACTGATTCCATCACGTAATGTTCGTTTTAAAAAAGTATGAATTAGTGATATAGTGTGGCTATATTTTTGTTCTTGAAAATATGCATTCAGCTATACTTTCATTGCCATCCACTATCGCTATCACATTAGTTAAATGTGTAGAAGTGTTTGATGAAGGGATACGAGCAAGCAATTGTTTATCTTTTTCTCGTGAACGAAATTTTTCAAGCTATATTTTACTTCGAAAAGTTGTAATTGATAGCTTACGCAGAGGCAAGGAGAAATAATTGCTTTCTACCGTAACATTTACGTCGGCCATTATATCTTAGTTTTGTGCCTGAAATTAATGTTCTGTAAAAGTAGCGAAGTTGTCCATTATATGATTATCCTTTTTTTGTAGTACAGTGAGTATTATTACATCCGTGTACCGTTCATGAGCAACTAGGTTATTTAGCTTTATTCATCTTCAAGTACATATGCATTCGTTAAATATGCATCAAGACACATGTGTTGTGAATGAAAATTTTATTGAAAGATTTCTACCTAACTGATTTTTTTTATGGGTCTGTCTGTGTGCGTGTCTGTATGTTGTATATTTGATATAAAATCCTTATATATATTCTGTCTTGCTAGCATGAAATATTTTACACAATATAATGTTTTGATTAAATAATTATTTCTTATGATAGAAGAATAAAGTGAGTGGAATATGCATTGCTAGATTCAATTTAGCGATTCGAGAAAAAGATTTGGTAATTAGAGAAAAATAAAACTCATAACTTCGATAAGTTGACAGTTGGACATTTCTTAGGAAGGATGATTTAGAAGTAGTCGAGTAATAGTACAAGTGGTACCACGTATTTCAATGCGTGGTGACAAAACGTCATTTTAGATTACTTTTCGACTCCTTCGTTTATGCTGTTACAAAGTTCACAAGTGAAAGAGCTAAATATCTACTTTCAATCAGTCAAGATATACTAAACTTTAAATAGGAATTGTGTAAAATTTGTCGAACTGTGTTTTGGAGGGACGAACTATTGTTCAGTGCTTCTGTGACACAACGAAAATTGTGAAACTGTATTCTGAAATTAGTACAGATATTGCTTGATCAATTGAAAAAATTTAGGCAAACTGTTATATCTCTGAGTAGACCACACATAAAAACGGTAAGTTCACCAAAGTAATGGCCGAGGAAAAACTATGAGTGGTTACATCCGTTAATCTCCGGTCGTATTGAATAATTGATGGCACTTTTAATGAAATTTGCAAATGCGACCTGATGATGATTCAAAAAACAGTTGGCAGAATAAGAATTTCATGAATTGATTTTCCATCTTCCTCTTGATTACTTGAAATTATTGGCATAACAATCAAATTGAAATACTAGTTTCGAAACTTTTTGTGTTCTTACAGAACTGTTTTAATTCAAGTTGAGTAAAAACAAAACGATGCCATAATTTTATGCATATTTAATGAATGTCATCAAATTTTACTAAATCAATTTGTCAAATATTATTTCCAAAACTACATAATAATATTGAACAAAAAAATATTTAAGATGATAGGAAGCTTTTGAATTGTTAAAAAATTATGTAAGGATTATTTTGATCAGTAAACATTTTATAAGATTCTTCCCCCTATTATTCACAGGTATGGATTAAATAATCTGTACAAATAAAAGCCATATCTTTGGAAATCAGTGTTTGAGTTGAACTAATCGTTGAATAGAAGGAATAATTTTCTTAGCAATCGATAAATTACTTTTGCAAGGGTTCGACATGCTTTGA